TATATAGATATATATTGATATATATCTTAATATATAACTGATATTATCTTTTACCTTTAAAACCAGCTGTTTGTTTTAATGTCTTTAATTACAAAGGTGTGATATTAATACGGAAGCTCACTGATGCCAGGAGAAGAAAATAAATGATCAAAGTTCACATTTCGATTTTTTGATCATAGAATCTGAAAAATAAAGTTTGTAATGACAATATAGAAGATAAATCTACACAAATAATAAAATATGGAGATAGTAAGTAAACGCAGACTCAGTCAAATGTTTGTCTCTGATGTCTCGGTTCTTTTAAATGATCTGAATGTTTATAAAAATATAAAATATAAAACACATTTAAAGTATTTAGTGAGAAACAGGAGGATGGAGTTCAGTAGAGCTGAATTTTCTCTGGTCCTGTTCTGCCACCTGCTGGTCTGATCCACAAACTACAGGTACAGTTTTTATTATAACTTCATTATTTCACTTATTTACTTTAAATTATTTTTACAGATTGTATAAAACTTTTTTTCTATTAAGAAAAACACAAAGATTTGGTTCCTCTGTAACAGTTTCCTCTTCACTTTTATTTATCTTTATTTAACTTTTTATTGTTTATTTAATCTTTATTTAGCTCAGTGGAGACAGTGACCTCTGCCCTGGATACACAGCTTGCATACAATAAATCACAAATAATAATATAAATGTAAATATATATGTGTGTGTATATATAGGAATTAAAGTTTGAGTCCTTTAATGAATACAATCAACATTTAAATTAGTAAAAGTTTTCTACTATAAAAATATAAGTTTAAGGTTTAAAGTTCTGTTTTTCTGCTTTAATTTTGACAATTTGACTCAAACTTTATTTCTAATTTATGAATTCAGTTAAAATAATGTATTATTATTCATTTAATGGATCTTTTCACATTAAAGACAAACAACTCACTTTATAGTGATTGATTATTGATGAGGTATCAGGAGTTATTCAGGGTCAAACTGCAGATTGACGAGCTCGTCAGCAGCCAATCAGCTTTCATTAATGAAGTGTGTGACGAGCTGACTGGATATAAACCGATCACATGATGAAATCAATCGATACTGCAGTCTTAATCCCTCTGGGCTTTTAATGTGAAAATACTGATCTCATGACATCACTAATAAAGTGTGGATGGCTTCATTGATCAGTTGATCATCATTGATTACTGATTTTAATGAAAATATTTACACAAAGAAACTCTTTAAAAAGCTCTACAATTAGTTCAAATTATCTAAAATATTTGAGTTAAATCAAGTTAACATTAAAAAGTTACGTTTAAGACGAACAATTAAACTTAAAATGTTAGTTTTATAACTTTTTAAAAAAGGTTTAAAACTTAATTTAAAATAAAAGTTTTTAGGAGTAAAAATAAATAAACACAAAATAGAAACTAAATTTAATTCCAGCAAGAAAAATACTTAAAGGTTGTTAATAATTTTAAATGTTTAAAGAGTTTAAAGGAGGTTTCAGGTGTTTTTAACAGATTTAAGGTGAAAAATAAAAACTAATAATAGAAAATAAAAAATAAAGTTTAATTGTTTTAAGACTTTTACAGAAGATAATTTGAGTTCTTAGGATCTTTCAGGTCTAAAAGGAAGATTTAAGGACTTTAAATTAATTCTTTAATGAGTTCACTTAATGTGACAATCAATACATGAGTTGGTGTCGATGGGTTCATTGATTTATCACAACAGAAAGTTTAATAAACAGAAAATGATCACATGATGATCACAGACCAATTACATCAAATCCAAACAATTATTGAACGAATGAGTTATTGATCAAAGTTTAAATGACTAATAACTGTCTCGTTAGTGTCACTGAGATTATTGATGACTGATTGGAGGATCATTATTGATGAGTTTAATAGAATCACATGACAGAAAGATTTTAAATTTAAACTTTATGTATTTAAAAGTTTAAAAGAAAAGTTTGAGGAGAAATTAAAGTTTGTTAAAAATGTAAAAGGAAAATTTAAAATTCACTTCTGTTTATTTTTAATATTTTTGACTCAAACTTCTTCAATCTCAGAATCCACAAACCAACAAATTTAAGCTTTAAATTTACAACACACACACATCAGTGTGTGTGTGTGTGTGTGTGTGTGTGTGTGTGAACTCTCCTGCTGTCTCCAGTCTGCAGTTGTTCCTCTCCATTTCACACGTCCTTAAATCATGAGTTTTTCCTCTGGAGTCTGGTGTGGCCCCTGTTGTGGAGTTGTTCCTCTGAATACACACTTCCTCCTCCGTGTCCTTCGTTAACGCTCGACACCGTTGGAATCAACTTCCTCTGAAACAACAAACAGTTTATTAAAGGAAGTAACTGAGTACTTTTACTCAAGTACTTAGAGTTTATAAAATCTGATGTTTTATAATAAGTACAAGTGCAGCTGAAACATCAGACCATTAATCAATCAGTCTATTGATAATCAATGAATCTGGTGTCTCTGTGAACTACAGGAACTTCAAAGGGACAAAATAAGAGTTTATGGCGTCTTTATTGATTAATGATGACTGATCAACAATCAGTTTAATCAACAGAAGAGAATCACAAACTGTTACTGCAGTAAAACCTTCAGTATAGCATCTGTACAGCGTGTATTAGTACTTTAAATACAGTATATATATGTATACTGTATATATATGTATACTGTATATATATGTATACTGTATATATATGTATACTGTATATATATATACGTATACTGTGTAAATATAAATATATGTATATTTACATACTGCTCCTCAGGTTGCTGCTTTCAGCTTCTTCCTCAGTCTTAATCCCTCTGTGCTTTTAATGTGAAAATACTGATCACATGACATCACTAATGAAGTGTGGACAGCTTTATGGATCAGCTGATCACCAGTCATTGATTACTGATTTTAACAAAAGAAAGTTCAACAGTCATGCAGATGTAATAGATTTCTTTTTTGTCAGATTCAGTGTTGAGGTAATCCAAAAGTAACAGAAAGTAATCAAGTTACTTTAATATTCTGATACTTTGATTATTTGTGTCATAAAATATATAAAAGTCACATTACAGCCAGTCGATTGAATTTATTACAAACGTTTATTCACAGAATGAAAAAACAATATTTCTGTATGGATTACTTTATATATTAAAGTATTTCAGTGTTATTAAAAGTAATTTCATTTATTCTGACAAAGCTGATTAAATCAGTAACATTTATTCAATGTTTGTTTCTGTAATTATACAAGAAATCTGTCAACAAACTAATCCATATAAATCCTCTTCTACTAATTCTACATTATTGTATTACACAGTATTAAAATACATTTAACAGTTTATTTATTAAATAAACAGTAAATATCTGTGAATAAACAGAATAATCAGTAATTTAATGATTATATTATATAATTATACATTATTTTACATTAAACATGTAAATTCACGGGATATTTATTAATATATAATATATTTATTCAATAATACAACACACTGTTGAAATATATAGAAATATATTTGATATAAAAGAGGTTGTGAGAAATAACCAATAAAAGTAAAAAAACCCTGAATGGATCAATAATTATAATCCAATATCATATATATATGTAGTATTTGTACTTTGTAGTATTTGTACTTTTACTGTAGTATTTGTACTTTTACTGTAGTATTTGTACTTTGTAGTATTTGTACTTTTACTGTAGTATTTGTACTTTTACTGTAGTATTCGTACTTTTACTGTAGTATTTGTACTTTGTAGT